ATCTTAGTCTCCAGACTGACATTTTTGCTCTTCAGTACTTTAGAGAGGTTTCTGACAGCAGACTTTCCCAATGCAATTAGTCTTTTAATTTTCTGGCTGCTGGTAACAAGAGTGTTGATTGTGGAGTCAAGCAAACTAAATCAGTTAACAATCACTTCACAGTCTATCACGATGCTGCCAGTTGGCCCAATGGTCAAAATCTTTGTTTTCTTAATGTTGAACTTCAATCCAAATTGAAAGATGCTGTCCTTGACCTTCTGCAACAAGTGCTTCAGATTCTCCTCTATTTCAGCAAGCTGGCTTATGTCACATGTATAATTCAGATTGTTGAAAAGTCTACCTCCAATCCTGATGCCACATTTCTCCTCATAGAGCCCAGCCATCCAGATAATCTGTTCTGCATATAGATTAAAAAGGTATGGAGATAGAGCACATCCCTGGCCTTCCCAATTTGGAACTAGGCAGTGGTTCCTGGCTCTGTTCTGATGACTACCTTCTGGTCCAAGCATAGGTTTTGCATAAGCACAATCAAGTGTTCTGGGATTCCCATTCTTCTTAGAGTTAGCCACAGTTTGCATTAATGCAGAGTCAAATGCATTTGCATAGTCAATGACACACATTGACTATGCCCTATCCAGATCACAGGGGTTTAGAGAGATAGACATTTCTCTAGCACTCCCTGCTTTCAGCCAAGATCCATCTAACCTTAACTATAATATCCCTAATACCATGGCCTCTTCTAAACCCAGTTTTCACTTCAGGCAGTTCTCTGTTGATGTGCTGTTCCATTCATTTGGATAATTTTCAGTAGAATCTTGCTTGCACGTGCTATCAAGGAAATTGTTTGACAATTTCGGCATTCTGTTGGGTCACCTTTCTTTGGAATGGGAACAAATATGGATTTCTCCCAGTCAGTTGGCCAGCCAGTTCTCCTCAAGATCTCTTGGCATAACTTGGTGAGAACATCCAGGGCAGCATCTGTTTGTTGAAATATGTCAATTGGTATGCCATCAATTCCTGGGGCCTTCTTTTTTGCCAATTCTTTCACAATAGCTTGAACTTCCTCCTTCATCACCACAGGCTCTTGCTCATACATTGTTTCATGAAATCCTTCTGTGTCCACCAATTCTTTTTGGTACAGTGACTCTGTATACTTTTCCCATATTCTTTTAATGCTTCCTGGATTTTTTAATATTCTGCTCAAATCATCCTTAAGTATTACAACTCATGGCTTCAATTTGTTCTTCAGTCCCTTCTGCTTAAGAAATATTCTGCCCTTTTGATTTTCTGACTCCAGCTCTTTGCACATTTAATTACAATACTTCACTTTGTCTTTCTGTCCTCCCCTTTGAAATTTTCTGATCAGATTCTTAATATCTTGATTCCTTCCCTTTGCTTTGGCTTCTCAGTGCTCTAATGCAATATCCAGAGTCTCTTCTGCATTCATCTAAGTCTTTTCTTCCCACTCTGTCTTTGTAATGACCGTTTGCATACTTCCTGGATGATATTCTTTTATTTTTTTAAAAAAAATTTAATTAATTTTAATGAAAGTTTACAGAGACTTAGGGTTTCCAGTCATTCATT